GTTTCATATCATTAGGGCAAGTAAAACTGGAATGAGACTATTTAGCTTTCCCGAAACAAGAAGAGCATCCATGGCCAAGGGTGCTTTACAATGTTTCCTGGTATGTAAACACACCACCAGCTAGAGGAAAACAAGGAGCTGCAAAAAAATAGCATCATAATAATAAATTGCCTGTCCAGAGTCTGCCTTTTGCCTTCACATCTTGACCTTGTAAATACCGCTGATCCATTCAAATTTTATGCATGTGGAGAATGGAAGCAAAATGACTGGAAACCAGGCTTCAGCACATGTTCTGCTCCATCTAAATACTTCCAACCAAGATCCCTCAATCACACATTTGTGTAGGAGGTTGCTGCTGCCTTAATTAAAAAAAAGTCATTGACTTTCTCAATTTCTCCTGCATTCTACCTTCTTCTCAAGTTTTAGATTTTCAAGATGCAAGTCAACTCACCACTTGGCACACACACTGCAGTTTCTGTTGGTTTTTAACTTGAGTGACCTGTTTTATGGTTTGTCTTAGAATCTAAACCATAAAAAAGCCATAAACCAGAAAAACAAAGGTGTGCAACATGATCAAATCACTTGCTATTACGATCACAATCTTTGCATTTACTTCCAGTATGACCTATTCCAATTCCACAATCAAAGTGAAGCATTACTGTAGTCTGATATTAAATATCAAAGTGGCTTATTTAAAAAAAAGTTTATATGCTGCAGCAACTATCTGGCAAAAGAGGCTGATAGCACTCAACTCCCCATTTGCTTCAACACTATATAGGTTCACAGCCACTTCTAGCCAGTCACATATTTTCATTTTACCCAGATCACTTTAGTATTATGCATTCAAAAATACTGCAATCCTGTATTTCTGCAAAGGTACTTTGAGGATTATTATTTTACCAACACTTAAACAAATTTTAAGATGACTTACAATGCTAAATAAGAACAGACTCCTCTCGCTCTGTCTTGGAGATTTTCTAGATGTAAACCATCAATGTTCCACGTAATTAGAGAGAAGCTGCTGTCATCTTCTTGTTGTAGGAAGTCTGCTGTGCTGACTCCAGCACTGTCAGTAGTCACAACTGCTGTCAGGTCAATGCTAGAAAAAATATCATATCACACAAAGTATTTTTGCCACAGCTGCTGCCTCACTTTTTACCACAAAATAATTTTAGATATGTGTCTAACTATAAACATTTTCAAAACTGAAGAGATCTTTCATCTAAAAACAGCTGCAATTAATCCAGCAATTGAAATGCACAGGCCTCTGTCATATATATAGTCTTAAAACATGGCTATGATTAATGTTTTTCTTTTTCTCACTGGGACAAGAGAAAGGACCCCAATCTGATTTTAAAGTTAGGTTGGTTTCTACCAGCTTACCTTTGCTAACTTCCTTAAATTTCTTAGCAGAGCCAACTAAACCAATGCTTCTAGCTCACACTTAGCTTGTAATGTGACTGCTTCTTTTCAAGACCTGAAAGGGTCCTTGAAACCTGAAAGCTTGTCTCCTCTTGCTCCCAACTATCCAAGCTGGCCCAACAACAGACACTGTCTTATCTCACATGTCTTACTTCTCTTTAGTTGTTGGCACTGTTTAATACTCAAGAAGCTTATTAAGGAAACTTAATATTCAAAAGAAAGAGAGCTGTAACCAGTACACAGGTATATGTGCCATGAGGTACCATAGTACCTAAACTGGTTTGACAAGAGCTTGAGTATGTTTCACAGATGTATGCATGCACCTGGTCTAAAACACACATTATGCCAGACTACTTTGGGAATACCACCCCCAGACTTTGCTGCATCTAAAAGTAGATGCTTTACTGCACTTACATGCATTAAATCTACCCAGTATACTTCACCATGGCAAAGTTCAGAATGCATTGGCAGGACTTGAATTTGCTTGTGTAGGTAGAACTAAACAATGGATAGAACTTAAGTGTGCACTAAAACTCAAGTTCCTTTGAAGACAAAGAAGGCTGCAGCCAAACTAGATCCCAAGTGAAATGGGCACAATTAGGCAAGAGGTGCTCAACCTTTTCACCCCACAGGCCAGATCTGGTGAACAGCCCCAATTCGGCCATGCGGGGCTTAGAAATTTGGCAGTGAGGGAGCAGTAGCACTGTCTACCACTGCCCCACTGCCAAATTTCCAGACCTGGGAAGAGATCCATGAGCTAAATGACATGGCTCTGGCAGTACAGCACCCCTAGATTAGAACAAATTCTATGACAGCACCTGTATGTTTAATCATATAGATAAAGCACAGTAGATTGCATACACAGAGAAACTTTTGACCTTTGACCAAAATATTTTCTTCTCTACAACTCACACAGTGATAAATTACCTGGCACAACTGCTGTACTGTGCGCCTAAGAAACAAGATCAGATTCCTACCCTACCACGCTTACGATCTAACCTGAACAAGACACAGTCAAATGAGAAGGTAAGAGAGGGATATTAGAGGAAAATGCATCTCCACAAATTTCCCTGCTAAAATTAATTTTTAGATGCTATAATATACTATAATACAACACAGCTAAATGGATTATAATGTGAGAACATGGCTGTATGCTTAACAACAGAAAGACAGCCATGACTGGGAGGAAAGCTTAGTAGATCAGAGGACAGAGGCAATTCTTTACTGGGGTTTTTTGTTCCTAAAATTTCCCTATAGTGCTACAACTTCACTGCTGGAAGCACAAGCATGGGCTGGGTCCCCTTTAGCCATGAGTGTGCTGTCTACACTGGCACTACTTACTATCAGCAGAACTAACACGATGGTGGCGGAAAATCTGCTTAAGTTTCTCAGGCCTCATGCCCATGGGAACACTGTACATGATTTAAAGATGTTACCCCAAGAGCAAAGGGAGTGTAGAGCATTAAGCTAGCCTGTCCATATCAGAAAGCCAAACTGCTACAGGCAAGCTGAGCATGACATTATATAAGCATGGCTGTGAAACAAGGTTGTTTGCCTCACTACTGAGATACAAAAGTCCTTGAAGACAAGCCGGGTATAGCATATAGGTTAAATGCAGGGAAAGAGTGTTACAGCCCAGGCTGACCTCCCTGTCACCCTCCCTCAAGCTGTTGTAGCAAACATAGGCTTTTACACCTACTCAGCCTGAGAAATATCCAGACAGTCTCAAGGCTTTCAGGTACAAACCCCAGATAAATGCCCATGTGCTAGCACCATCTCTTTGGGAATAAGGACCTCCTGGCCCCAGCTTAGGTTTACTCTCTTCAGAGTCCTTCCCCCTTGTGCTCCATTCCCACATAGGACATGGTCTCTCACCAGGCGCCGTTGTCAGGTGTCCCGCTCACATCCCGCTCGTGCACTGGTGGCTCAAAGAAGGAGTCCAGCGCCCTCTGCAAGGGGGAAAGCAGTTAGCTGTGGTCATCATCAGAAATCAGGCAGAAGGCAGGGCAGGGCAGCACCTCCCCCTTTCCCCAGCTTTGGCCTCTAAATGACTCGATTTCTTTGTATTTGGTGCCCCTTCCCTCTGCGCTGCTGTTCTTAGCAACTGATGACAAAGCCTGGGCTGCTCAGAACCAGCTAGTCTCTGAAGCCGCAGTTCTCAGCTTTTTTAGACTCAGGGCTTCCCTTCACAGGCTGCGGGGGGTTCCCATTACACACTGGGGCCCCCTCTCACAGGCTGGGGGCAGGGCCAGATTAACTTTACTGGTCCCTAGGCAAACAAACTTGTGGGCCCCTACTTAATACTGTACAGGTTTCCCTTGCCAACCAGAGTTTTGAGTATCTATGCTTAATCTTCTATCCAGGGTGTTTCAACCTTTTACTCCTGGCGAGTACCCCCTTCTGGATGTGGAGCTGGGGGGGATCCCTGGCAGCCAGTTGGCAAGCAGGGGGGTGGGCAGCAGCACACCAGTGGTGGCAATGCATGGCCCCCACTAATCCACGCCGCTGCTGGGTACCCCCTGGGGCCTTCCCAAGTACCCCAAGGGGTGCAAATACCCCCAGCTGACAACCCCTGCTATGTACCCTTTTGGCTCCCATGGTATACAGTTTTGAGTAACCAGTTTCCATGGCCGCGCATCAGCCCACCACCTGCCATTCTTCCCATAAGCCTTTTGTCTTGCCAACCGTGGGAACTTTCAGGAACCTAACCCCAGCAGTTGGCAAGGGAAACCTGTATAGTTGTATTACTTTTTTCACTCGTTATAATATGTAAAATAAGTACAGCTGGGCCTCTTCATCACTTAGGGCCTTAGGCGTTTGCCTATGCATGAATCTGGCCCTGGCTAGGGGTGGGCCGGTGGCAGAGCGTCCCTTGACAGGCCGCGGGCTCCCCATGATACACTGGGGCCTTTTTTCCCGAGCTGGGGGCTCCCTTCACAGACCGGGGCCCCGCCTCCTGGCCCAGGCCAGCTCTTGGCAGCGGGTCGTGGCGGATGGCGGCGGCCGGGTGGGAGGTTTGCCCCCACCCGGTTCCGATGTGGAACCTCCAGGCTCGCCCCGCCCCCGCCTTCTCCGGCGGGCCCGGTGGCCGGCGCAGCGCCTACTTGCAGGTCCCAGCCGTGCTCCTCCAGGCGGCGCTCGGCCACGTTCGGCCCCGCGGCCGTGATGCAGGAGAACTCAGCGCACAGCAGCTGCTTGCGCTGCGCCAGCTCCGCTACGCCCTGCCCCGGCAGCGCATCTTCCGCCGGCGGCTGCCCCTGGTCGCCCCCGGCCCCGGCTGCCTCCATCGCCCCCGCGCTTTCCCGCTCTCCGCACTCCAGCGCCCCACTTCCCACACCCCCGACTCGGGTGCGCATGCGCAGCACTCATAGGCTGGGAACCCGAAACAGAAGGCAGGAGCTTTTTCAACCCCGCCCCCGCCTGTGACGTCACAAAGGCATGCCAAAACGCAAAAGTTCGGCGACTCTAACGAACTTTAGGACCTGGTTGGTCGGCGCGCTGATGTCACAAGTCACGTAGCTGGGTGCGTGGGGACGCTGTAGTCGGCGCTCCGCTCCTCTCTTCTCTTCTCTTCTCTTCTCTTTTATCCCCGCGGGGACGAGGCAGCGGGCCTCTCCGCCCTGGCAGCCCTATGGGCTCCGTCACACTGCAGTCCCTGCGGGAGATGATGAAAAGCCTGCTCGACTCCCCCGGCTTTGATCGCGTGCTGGATAAGGTAGAGCCCTGCAGGGGAGATGCCACCAAGTGCTTGTCGGCTCAGGTGGTTTTGCTCACTTGGCCGGAGATCCCCCTCCTTCTTGACCTTGAATGAACTGCTGCATGTAGTTAGCCTGTCCCTTGTCCTGCGGGCAGGGTGACCTCTGCCGCAGTCTACAGATGCCTCCAAATGCCATGTTCTTGGCTACACGATTGGTAGTAATGGGGGATTGCACTCAGGCTCTCCCTTCTGTCTTTTGGCCGGGGGCAAGTGGGACTAGGGGGCATCTGAGCTCCAAGGCTTCCAGGCTTGGAGCTTACATGTATTAGGCTTGCCACGGATTTGGGAGTATCTGAAGCCCCAGGCTGAAGGGTCTGGGAGGTAAGATACTTGCCAGTGGTAGTGCCACACAGACAACTAACCTCTAATTAGCACCCTCCAGGGGACTGTATTCATTGGGTTCCTATACACTTGTAGAGAGGCTGCTCCAATGCACTATTCTTAAAGCGCATTGGAGGAGACTCTGTTAATTGAGTCTGCTGGAATGTGGTAATTCCTGCACTCCAGCAGACTCCAGTGTCATGTGAAAGAGCACCCCCACGCTGAAAAATGGCAGCAGGGCGCTGTAAAGCTGGCTTGATGAGCTTTAGTTCAAAGCACCCTACTGCCATTTTTCAGTGCAAGGATGCTGATGCATGTGACACTAGGCACTTTTAGTTAGCGCAGCAGCTGTGGTAATTAAAGCACCCCACCCACCAGAGCATGTCTGTAAATGCTCTCAGAATCTGCTCTGCAATGTGCCAATAATTAGCATGCATTGGAGTAGGCATTTGGCAGGTGTGTAGCGGCCCTTTGTTTCTAATTGGGTAGAGGACATTAAACTTTGTAACAACTGTTCTTGGGTGGGGCAGAAAGTTGGGTTGGGTGGGGGTTGCTGTCAAGGTCTGATCCTGCTTTTCTTTGCATGCACAAGGTACTGTAATAGGAAAGAAAAGCAAAGAGAGAAAATGCAGTTTCTGTCTCTGCTAGTGATGTTTAGACTGTGTCTGTCGCATCTCTGGACTATGCTAGCAAGTGTGAAGGTGCCATGCTGTGCTCTTTAGTCTCCAACCTAAGAGCTGTACGAGGTACACACAGGTAAACTTTCTCTTTGGGTGTGCTTAATTGCACATGGCCAATGCCACTGCAAGAAGTTTATATGGCATCTATTTTGTAGTTTAGCAAGCATGGAGTAGACGTGTCACACTACTGCAGTCTGGAGATGGTGTAGACATCTTTTTATTTGCAACCTTGCTGGTTGAAAAGCAAGGACACAGAACATGGGGCAGCTTGCACCAGCATCAGGCTATGCAAGGCAGTGTCTTTCTCTGGGATAAAAGCCTTGTTGCAGAACAAGCAATAATGGCCAGCTAAGCTTGACTGCACAGAATATAGACAGATAAGTAGTAAGGAAAAGAAGTAAAAGGACCCACGGGAAAAAGAGAGCCAGATACTGTTAAGGACCCAGTGAGAGTGGTGGAAATGACAAATGTCATTCTGATTCAGAAAGGTCAAGGACTCTGTTGGCAGAACTCTAAGCAGAATGGAAGATTTTTGTAGACTGGTTTCCTGAAGTCTACCCCACTGGGGAGACTGAAATGATTGCTCTGGAAGGTCTGCATTCAGTCCTATGTTTCTAATGTCCTCATGAATACATTGCACAGGCTTAGAAGAAAATTCAGAATGATGTTATGCAGTACTTAAAATGCTTATTTGTTTCCTCAAAAGGAACTTTATAGCAGTGGTTTACTCCCTGCTTGATAATTTGACTGAAAGTAGAAAAGTATGTGGACAACATCTGACATAACCAGAACTCTGTGTAGCTCAAATGTAATGCAAAGAAGTTGTTAACATGCCAAAGTGGGGGATCAATATAAAATTTAAGACTGCAGCAACTAGATCTACCATTTTGAACATGCAAAATATTTTGCGATACTGTAGAAATAAGCTTTTCTGTGAATGCTCTGAGGCTAGACCTTGCATCAACGTAGAATTGTACCAGAAATCTAGTTTTAGCCTGATGTTAAGTTGATGCAATGGTTTTGAATAGAGGAGAGAGGGTAGAATTAACACAGCTAGTTTGGACTGAAAAGCGTACATTTATAAAAAGAAGATTCCATGATTGGGGCTCCATAGAAAGCCTAACTATGAGCCTCTTCCTTGGTGGTTGTATAATTTGATGCATTTTTACAAGGTCTTTACATGTTACTTGCTGCTTCAAAAGCAAGACTTGACATTGTTATCCCTAAGCCATATATCTCTTATGTCCAACAGACCTAACAATGAACTACAAAAACCTCTATGTAGTTCTAGAATAATTGCCTTAAAGTCTGTACCTCCTTTTTCCATGTGGTAGTTTAACTTTTCTGTATAAAGAGGATAGATGAAATGTCTCACTACTCTCAGCTCCAACTGGATTTTTCCTTTCCAAGTCAGAAACTTGCAGACTTGAGAAATGGCACTTCTGTCTGAGCACTGAAGCACTTGACAAGCATCTTGCAATTAGCTGTTTCTGGATGAAATATTTTTTAAAATGTTGTTTTATTTAATAAAACACTCAAGATGCACATGACAACTGCAAAAGTTTCAGTTCAAGCTACTGGCGTACAAGGTAAATGAGGCCTTCCTATCTGAAACCATATGCAATTATGGATTTGGCACAACAGACATTAAACTTTAAGTGCTGCTATTTAGCAGTGAACCAAAATAAATGTATTCCTTAAAAAACAAGTCAACATTTTTTTTGTCCTAAGTAAAACCTTATTACTTCTAGAGGTGAAACAAGTTATTTCATGAAGGGTTTCTTAATATTACTATCTTTATTTTGTGATAATTCTTCCTAAAGCTGATGTAGCATTTAAAATAATATTGCAAATCTGAATGTATTTATAAAATCTTTGCTTCTTCCAGTTTTGTGGAGAACCCTGAGTCACTTTGATTCACTTTGAATTATGCAACACCTGTTGCTACTGGGATGTAGCAGTTAATTAGTAAGGCAGGTTTCTAAACAAGGAAACCTAACAACAGTTGTTTTGTGTCAGTGAGGTAGCTTCTTGGGGCCTACTTACAACAGGAAACTTATCACTGATCAACCCAGTTAGTATAATTTTCTGTGGGCACGTCTACATGTGCATTAATGTGGCGTAGTTACTGTGTATTAAGTTTAATACCTGTAATAACAGGTACTGTACTAACTCAGTGTGCAGTAACTGGCACTACTGCACAGTAACACCAGCACATGCCTTTTTAGTGAAGCTAATGCACAGTAGGCTAATTCTGCTAGCAAAAGCATTAGCACGGCTTTGGCTGTGACACGTGCGCAGTAGAATTAGTCTACTGTGCATTTAGCATCTTGTGTAGACATGCATTGCATGGACAAAAACAGTCAGGAGTAAGAACATCCATATAACTGGTATGCCTGCTTATTCTGGATAACTGTGACTACAAGGGGATAGAGGTATGACTGCTGGTAAGTTACCCATGTACGAGTCCTGAGCATGTCAAACTAATCGTTCTCATACTCCTTTCAAAATACTCCTGTTTTGTGAGCTACCAGGTTTGGCTATACAATTATAACAGATGGGTAAATCAAATCAAGCCATTAGAAGGAGTCTCCGTTAGCCTTATTCAAGATGTAAAGGCCACTTAACCAAAGTATGCCCCTTCATAACAATTATTAGCAGTCCGAGAGGACCACTGAAGTGTTGTTAAATGGATGATATGAACACTTGTTACAGTAACGTCCTAGAGGAATTTATATTGTGTATAAAATCTCCAGTCACGATTTTACAGAAATATCTGGGTTGGCCCTTTTTCATTGTTATGTTTTCATCTCTCCTCATGAAAAATTATTTCAGTTCCTGGTCTGTCTTTCAACTTGATCTTTTCTCTGGGAAGAGGCATGATGATCATCAATATGCTGAGCTCTTGAAGTAACAGAATTATGTTCCTCTGTTCGGTTTCAGATGAAGCTTCTTTCTGCAACTCCTGGGAAGGTTGTATGTGAAATGAAAGTTGACGAGCAGCACGCAAACAGGGCTGGCACACTGCACGGAGGCTTGACTGCCACCCTAGTAGATGTTGTGTCAACAACAGCACTGCTGTACACAGAAAGAGGAGCTCCAGGGGTCAGCGTGGACATGAACATAACGTATGTATTGAGCATGTTTGTTATAAGGTGTTAAGTTTTCTCCCTAGTTGCCTTTCACAAATGGACTGCTGAGTTTCTCTCTTGTGACCTACGCAGCCCTGGCGAGATGCATTACAATAGGTTGGCTCTGAAACACTTAGTTTTACTGAACTTGGTGGAGATCTTATTTGGGCATCACCTCGGGTAACGGAGGTACTAGTTTGAGTTAGTCTTTTAACTATGTGTTTTGTTTATGCCTTGGCTTTTGTGACGGAGTTCTGATTCTGCAGGCTTTTCACTTACGAGATTGTAGATCTTGAAAACAAGAAGTAACATTCAAATTGTTGAAAAAGTGGAAGGGGTTAGCCTGGGCTCATCTTGTTCCAGCTCTGGCATGGATGTTGCATGGAGCTGCCTAATGTGAAGAACAGAAAAATCAGAGATGCTGAGAAAAGCCCCCTACATTCAAGTATTGCTTTTCTCATCAAAGTGGGAGACAACTATTCATCAGAGTTTTGGCAATTTCATAGCCTCCTTCTAGTTGAAGCCCTTGGCTCTAAACATACACAAGCTTTTGGGAGCTTTTGCTTCGATGGCATTGTGGCTTATATAAGCCTCAGGAGAGATACTGAAGTAGAATGGCATTAGGTGGTGACCTTTCAGTGTATTGTTTGAGACGCTATGTTTTGGTTCCAAAATGGATTGTTATGTAAAGACAGGAAAGTCTGGGTTCTTACCTGTCTTTGGTTTATCACAAAACTAAGGTATTGATGGTAAGCTTCTTTCCACAATAGGCCAGGCAGGAACCCTGCCAACCCATGTTACGTTTAGAAATGTGGGAATCTGGGTATAGGAATTGTCTGAGGGGTAGCTGACTGTAGTATGTTTTTGGTTTTGTTTTGTTTTTTAAGCTTTCCAATATTTGACATGCTATGCATAAACTCTTACCTGTTCATTCTCTCTCTTATTCAAGATACATGTCAGCTGCTAAGATAGGAGAAGAGGTACTGATAACTGCTCAGGTTTTGAAGCAAGGAAGAAGCATTGCATTTGCCAGCGTGGATTTAACAAACAAGGCGACTGGAAAGTTAATAGCACAAGGCAGACATACAAAGTATCTGGGCTCTTAATATAAGGAAATGATCTCTAAAAAAAAAAGAAAGGTTTGCCATAATATTCTGTAGTGAATTACTCTTCTAGTTTCACATATCACTGTAGGCTGTTAGATGGCCTATATTAAATGGGTTGGTTTGAGTTCCATAATTAATGGACTTGTGTCCATGTCAGAAAACTGCCATTAAAGTTGGCACTAACTTTCAGCTGATTGTAGTCCTTCAGCCCTTGACTACTCTCCCCAACAGCTGAAGACTGATCTGACACTTTTTGTGCCCAAAGAGAATGACAATAAGGTGAACCTTTCAATTCAGGATTCAGACTTGGTGTCGGGACAGTGTAGGAAAGCTTAGTTTTCTGGTGCCCATGCCAGACCTGTCATGAAAAATGACTCTGTCTTCAAGGCTGCCAGACAATCAATTGCCTTTTGGACGCCAAACTTATGAACAGACTGCATTCTTTATTTTGTATAATAAAGCGGTATTTAAGTAACACATCTTCACAAGCTCATAAATACTGACTGAAATTGTGAATCCAATATAAGAATATGTTGCAAATGAAAATAAAATATACCTTACTTTCATTTTTATGCTTGAACTCAATTATTTTATAAAATAAAATTCTCAATTATCTGAAGAGAGAAGACCTGTGAGGTGACTGTATGTGTTGCTGGGCCAACTTGTATAGTTGCGAGAGAGGAGATAAACTTTCAGATTTCAAGTGCCCTTCATTAGGTTGTGGAAAGGAAGCAGTTGCATTCCAAGCCAAGCATAAGTTAGAAGCACTTCCCTAGTTTAAAGTTTATTCTGCTAAATCATATGACAGAGTCAGAAAAGTTAAGTTGGCAGAAAGTAGTTTAATTTAAATTGGACTCAAGTCCTTTTTCTTGCCTCAGTGGGGGAAAGAAAAGGTATTAATTATAGCTATATTGTAAGACTACATATGATGGAGACCTTTACAGTTCAAGCAATTGATTTATTGCAGCTGTTTTTAAATTATAGAAGTTAATTTGTATTCCATTTTGAAAATAAAAAGTTTATAGCTGGAAAGGTTTGTAAAATTACTTTGCAGTAAAAGGGGAAGCATTATTTTGAACACTGTTTCTAGCATTGACCTGACAAGAGTTGTGACTACTGATACAGTGCCAACACAACAGACTGCCCACAACAAGAAGATGACAGCAGCTACTAGGGCCGTGTGAAACAGCGTTGTTCCATTTCAACTTCAATTTCGCGGTCTGGACAGAACAGTGTTTTGTTTCAAATTTCATTTAGAGTTGAAACAGCCTCGCTGTTTCGCCCACCATCAGGCTGGGGAAAGGAACTCAGCCCAGCTGGGCTGACTTCCCATCCTCAGCCTGATCGCAGTGCCCGGGCTTATTTCCCTTCCCCTACGCTGTGATCGGCTTCCCGCAGCCTGGCGGCAGGAGATGAGGAGAGCCAGGACTGTGCTCTCAGCTGCTGCTGGGAGCACAGCCCTGGTTCTCCCCTGTTTCCTACCACCATCTTGCTTAAAGGTGGCTTAGCAGTTATACACTCAAGTCCACTTTCTTCTTGTACGTGTTGCTAGAACACATCCTCAAAGTCTCTAAGCTGCAAATGTGAAAGTACAATCATTTTTAGAAGACTTTTAATATTAAGATCTAAATAAAAATTGCTGGCCAGAAGTCACTGTGTACCTGTATAAAGTCTGAGACTAGAAGCCTTCTTGCTGGTTTGTCACTGCCTCGTACAGGTTTTCCCTTTTATATGTGTGCCCTTGATATTTAATATCGAACTATAGGAATACTTCACCTTGGTTGTGGAATTGAAATATTTTGAAATGGAAAGATTATGCTCATAATAGCAAGTGATTTGACCATGTTGCTTTTTTTTCTGGTTTGTGACTTTTTCTGGTTTTGATTCTAAGATGTAAGATGGTGCACTCAAAAAAGAAAAACCAGAATGTGCAGCATGTGTACATGAGTTGGCATGACGGGCATCTTGACGCTGAAACCCTGTAACTTGTAGAAGACAACAGAACACAGTAGAAACTGACTGCAGTTTCAGGCTCCTTACAATTACCTTCTTAATTAAGGCAGGCCTAGTCTTCTATGGGTGAATTTAAATGGGTTTAATGCTTGCTTAAAACAGTTCAGCTTAATGTAGACATGTATCAGTGCAACCTGACTTGGTTTCAGTAAGAGTAAACCTAATTTAAGTATATAGTAACCTAGCAGAAGCCCCTTAACTTGATTAATTGAAAATTGATGCTATTAACTTGGTGCCTGCTCTTGATTACAGACAAGCACTGGCTTTCTCTCTGTGCAAATTATCCCAAACCTCACCCTAGGCCCATTGCAAGCAAATGTACATGATGTGATTAAAAATAGCAATCCTTGCCTGAGACACATCTACCCAAGTGCTTCCCCTGTTGCTATGTGCAGCCACGTGGCTAGTAGCACAGGAGTGAGAGATTAAAAGGCTGCCTACTGTAGACAAGGCCATGTAGCAGCAGCCCAGCCTGTCAGTCATGGCTGGGAGAACATCATGAAGGGAAGTGAACCTGACTGGGCACTACTGGAAATATTTAGATGCAACAGAGCATGTACTTACTGAAGCCTGGTTTCTAGTCACTCAACTTCAGTTCCCCACATGGCTAAAATCTGAGTGGTGCAAAGATCAGGCAAAAAGTGGGCACCAGATGGGCAGTTTATTGGTAGAAAGTTTATATGCAGCTCATTGCTTTCTGTGTCTTCTAAATTCCAGAACCTGTTTGAATCAGAATTGAAAGACTCACCATTAACGCTGCTTCCTTTAGAAGTCCATAACTCTCTCGCATGTTCCTATTGTTGGCACCTATCAAGTATAAGGATCTTTCCTGAGACTCCTGGATAACCCAGTTCAAGTGAGATGCCACGGTGCAAAAGTGATGGATGGGGCAACTTAAGCTAGGAACAGAAGTTGCACATAAACGAGCTTGTGTGATCAGAAGCTGGTTTAAATCTAACAGAACAGAAGTTCAGTGCACATAAACTGCTTTCAAAATGTCTGAAACCAGTTTAAGATAAACCTGATTGGACATACTATCAGACTTAACAAATTTAGGTCAAACCGGTTTATGGAACTTCTATTCCAGACCCCTTCCTGGTTCAATCCCAAGATGGGATTGGGGTGGGAGCATGGCTAAGGAAACTGCTCCCAGCTCCAGGCAGGAATGGGGAGTAAATTCCCCACTTTGGGCTTTCCCCCCTTACCCTATGCCCTCTATGTGCACAGGGCAGCTCCCAGTTGGGGATTTGGTGGAGGGGGCGGGGTCCCCACACCCTAAAGTCTAATATTAAGTTGGGTAACAACTGGGGGGAAGCCCTTCTCTGTACCAGGGCTGGGCTGGGGGGGACCCTGCCAGGGGTAGGGAATGCCTTCTGAGGCTGGGGGGCCCAGCCAGCCTCAGCCTAGACGGACTGCCCGCCCTGAGGGGCAGGGATGGGGAGAAGCAGCGCAAGGGTTTGGGGGCATGTGCTAGGCAGCCAATCAAGGATAAGCCCTGCTAGGCTGCATTCCCATGCCTTCAGGCAAGCTAGAAAGCATGTTCTGTCTCCCCCCAGCTACTGGTGTGGGCCACTGCAAGGGTCTGACTGCCTTTCTGGTTTCAAAAGTAAATGTCTGTTCACTTGTTTCTTGGTTCAATCTATGCATTTGGACTAACATGCAAAGATTAAATTGATTCAGCCTGGGGCGTTTTTTAATGTCTGTATTTAGTCTTAGAGGCAGAACAGCATTCACAGAAGAGAGTGGAGTTTGCAGACAGAAACATCCTCATCCAGGACAGGCTCTGACATCCCAGTGTGGAAGTCAAGGCTGGGCTGCAGTAGGATCATACATACTTACCTCCACCCAGTTACATTTGCAAGAAGACAATACAAGCAATCAGCAACAGGGTCCTGGTAGTGCAGCATTGGTTCTCATCCCAAAGCCAGACACAGGCATGTAGGCAGCGCCAGAATCTGTGCTGTGTTGTCAGGATCCTTCCCCCAGGATGAGAGGAAAGAACTGGGTGTATCATGCTCCCCACTCTGGTTCCCCAGGATCTCTCCCCAAGTGGTATAAGGGCATGGCCCACCCCTGTCCTGCTTGGCTACAGGTGGCTCCACAGAGCCTGGTGCCCCCAGGATAGCAAAGGCACCAGTGTTCAGGAGCATGGGCCAGTGCCACCTGAACCTGCACACACCTTGGCCAACTGCTGCTGCTGCTCCCCTGCTGCACACCAAGTCTCAACTGCACCACCCATTGGTTCCCTGCACCTTCCTGGCAAGGCCCTGTCTACACTCCCCTGGCAGGGAAAAGTGAGGCACCCCAACCCTGCACAGCTGCAGCATCTCCTTGTACACTGGCATCAGAAACCCCCAGAGGAGTCCTGTACTGCATGAAATGCCACCAGTGCTGAGCAGGGAAGGAAGGCAGAAGGCTGCAAGCAGATCTAGTGTGCTAGCAAATATGTTTTGCAACATGCAGCCACAGAAATAGGATCATCAGTGGAGCAGCCAATGTAGAGCGTTCACAATGTTTTGCCAAGGGCAGAAGGCAGGGTAGCAGAATTGCTCTTGGAGGGTGGTGGAGGCAGCTGGTTCCCAGAATCAAACATGAATGCTACACCTTCCAGAGCATTCAGACTTTAGGTTTATTCAGTTCTGTATTTCAGATGCTCTGTCTGACCATCATACACATTAATGCCATTTGCCTGTATACCACCTGGCACAATGGACACTCAAGTTTAAGCGATTCCGATTAATAATAACCCAAAACAAATGTATTCCTCAGAGTACAAGTCATAGTTTTCCATCCTAAGTAAAACCTTATTATTTCTAGAAATGGGATTCTTCTATCTTTCTTTTGTGACAATTCACCCTAAAATTACTTTGTCCTTAAAAATTCCAGGAATATCACACATCTGAATCTATTTCCAGAATTTCACCTTCTCCCAGTTCTTCTTGCTTTGAAATATGCAGCACCCCCTAATGGTAGATCTGGGATGTAGCAGTTGGTTAGTGAGGTGCATTTTCAAACAAGGAAGCATAAAAACAGGGCCATAGTATCAAGGAACAGTTTGTTTATACAGGGAAATGTATCAGCCTGGTTACATCAGGAGAGATGGCTGTACTTTAAAGAAGCCTTACTGAGGGTGCAGGAGCAGTCCATCCCAATGTGCAGGAAGACTAGCAAGTATGGCAGAAGACCAGCTTGGCTTAGGAGGGAACACTTCAGTAAACTAAATCACAAGCAGGAAGCTTATAATAAATGGAAACCTGGACAAATAACTAGGGATGAATTATAAGAGCATTGCTTGGACATGCAGGGATGAAGTCAGAAAGACCAAAGTGCAACTGGAGTTGCAGCTAGGAAAGCATGTGAAGGGTAACAAGAAGGGTTTCTACAAGTATGTTGGTAGCAAAAGGAGGATCCAGGAAAGTGCAGGTCCCTTAATGAATGGAGGAGGCAACCTAATGACAGAGGTTGGCGAAAAGGCTGAAGTGCTCAACGCCGCCTTCACCTCAGTCTTCATGGGCAAGGTCAGCTCCCAGACTCTGCACCTGGAAGCACAATT